GTAGTAGTAGTAGTGGTGCCCATAATTTCAAAAATGTTTAGCATCTTTCTTTATCTGTTGTAAGCAAAACGTACCAGTCGTAGTATTATTAGTCTCCGTTGTAGTCGTAGTAATATTCCGCGTCGTCTTAGTAATCGTCTTACTAATATGGGTTGTATCATTATTATCATGATTAGTATTGCTCTCGTTATGTTGATCAGTCTTCATATTATTATTGTTATGTTTCGTATTAGTATTCGTCTTCCTCCTCCTCCTCCTCATCCTCATCCTCCGCCTCCTCCTCCTCATCCTCCTCCTCCGTATCCCCCTCCTCCTCCCCGTCCTCCTCCTCGTCCTCATCAGCATCTTCATCATCAGCCTCATCTTCTTCGTCCTCCTCCGCCTCCTCCACAGCCTCCTCACCATCAGCATCATCATCATCATCACCACCATCAGCATTCTCATCATTAGCAGCGTCATCAACAACATCATCATCATCATCATCATCATCAGCAGCAGCAGCATCATCATCAGCATCAGAATCGTCATCATCATCATAATCAGCATCACCAGCATCAACAGCAGCAGCAGCATCGGCAGCAGCACCAGCAGCAGCATCATCACCAGCATCAGCATCCTCGTCAGCATCATCATCAGCAGCATCGTCATGAGCGCCGCCATCATCATCAGCATCATCATCGTCATCATCATCATCATCATCAGCAGCATCATCATCAACCTAATCATCAGCATCATCAGCAGCATGAGCAGCAGCAGCATCAGCATCAGCATCATCAGCAGCAGCGCCATCATCATCATCAAGATACTCATCTGCCTCATCATCAGCATCATCCGCATGATCAGCATCATCATCAGCCGCATCATCATCGGCAACATCACCAGCATCATCATCGTCTTCGTCCTCATCATCATCATCATCATCATCATCATCATCATCATCATCATCATCATCATCATCATCATCATCGTCATCGGCATCAGCAGCATCATCATCAGTATCATCATAAACATCATCATCAGCAGCATCATCAGCATCAGCAGCATCATCATCCTCATCGAACTCATCATCGTCAGCATCAGCAGCAGCATCAACAGCAGCATCATCCCCATCACCATCAGCATCATCATCATCGTCATCATCGTCATCGTCATCAGCATCATCATCATCATCATCATCATCATCATCATCGTCGTCGTCATCCACCTCCACCTCATCTTCATCCTCATCCTCCTCCTCCCCATCCTACTACTACTCTTCCTCATCCACCTCCGCCTCCCCCATCCACCTCCGCCTCCTCCTCCTCATCATCGTCATCATCATCAGCATCATCACCATCTTCCATTCTCAGTCCTCGGTCCTCGGTCCTCGGTCCTCGGTCTTCGGTCATCCTCCTCCTCATCATCATCCTCCTCCTCCGTCTGCTCCTCCTCCTCCTCTTCCTCATCATCATCATCTTCCTCCTCCCCGTCCTGATCCTCATCCTCCTCCGCCGCCTCTTCCTCCTGCTCCTCCTCCTCATCATCACCCTCATCCTCATCCTCCTCCTCCTCCTCCTCCTCCTCCTGCTCCTCCTCCTC